CATAGTGAGACCTTGTCTCTATACAAAAGTTAAAAAGTTAACCTGGTATTTTGGTGCACACCTGTGGTCTTAGCTACTTGGGAGTCTGAGGTGGGAGGATCACTTGAACCCAGGAGTTTGAGGCTGCAGTGAGCTATGGTCATGCCACTGCACTCCAGCCTGGACAACAGATCGAGACCTTATCTCCAAAAAAAAAAAAAAAAAAAAAAAAAGAGAGAGAAAAGAAGAAACAACAAAGAAAAATTTTTGGCCCAGCGCGGTGGCTCGTGCCTGTAATACCAGTGTTTTGGGAGGTGAGGTGGGCAGGTCACTTGAGGCCAGGAGTTTGAGACCAGCCTGACCAATATGGTGAAACTGGGAAACTTCGTCTCTACCATAAACAAACAAACAAAATTAGCCAGGCATGGTGGCAGGCACCTGTAGTTCCAGCTACTTGGGAGGCAGAGGCATGAGAATCACTTGAACTGGGGAGGTGCAGGTTGCAGTGAGCTGGGATCCTTGTACTACACTCCAGCCTGGGCAGAGTGAGACTCTGTCTCAAAAAAAAAAAAAAAAAAAAAAGAAAAGAAAAGAAATGATAAGAAAAAATGGTAAAATGGTAAATGTTAAAAGCTATTGTGTAACTAAACAACAGATCAAAACTTGTATCCTCCCTGTTTTATCAATAAGGAAAGCCGCTAGAGATACAAGATAGATGCAGGGCTATTACTACAGTTCTCCATGAAGTCATGAGGACTTGGACAAGATGCTACAAAAGAGAACTACTGGAGTTGGGTGGGTAACTAACTACATATGTGGGATGAGGGAGGGAGAAAGCAGGAAGAAGAGCCATTTAAGGGAAAAAATAAGGTTTGTGTTAGGCATGACACAGTCGAGCTGATGCCAGCCCATACATGTGGAAGCACCCAGCAGACCTGGGGAGAGATGGGGAGATTGCAGGGGGTTAAGGTGTGACTGATTCCAGAGAAAGTCAGTGATGATGAGCTACACACTGGGCCATTCTGCTTAGAAACTGGTCACTGAAGTCATGAGGGTCAGTGAGACCATGAGGGGGAGTAGGACATGCAAGAGGAGAATAGAAGTGAGAAGATCAGAGAATACCACAGTTAGGAGGTGGAAGGTGGAGGGACTGTAGGCGAAGGGTCTGTTCTGTTACTCCATGGGACTTGCCTGATCTTTGTACCTTAAGCACTCTGGACTCAGGCATACAATTGTTACTCAGTAAATTCTAATTCAGTCTTACCCCAGCCCCAGGCCTCATATCCACCATCCTGCCTTCTGATGCCTTCCTACATCTGTTCGACACTCCACCACCTCTGAGTGTTGGTCCATGTTACCCCCATTCCTGGAGATGCCTTCCTTTTTCTACTGAACCCCAAGGAAGGGGGCCTGAGAATTAGGAGAAAAATCACACTATTGCTATCTTACAGAAATGGAGAGAGAAAAATGATCAATAGCCTTCCATGGCCAGCAGGCTATAGAAAGAAAAAAGTCCTTGGACTCAGCAAATTGAGTTCACAGATGATCTTTCAAGATACAGCTTCATTAGACTTCTGAGAACAAAAGCCAGATTGCAGGAGGTTGAGTTGAGACTGATTGCAGAGAAAGTCAGTGATGATTTTCTTTTGTGAAGTTTGATTTAAAACTGTAGTGCCAAAAGGCAAAGATTAAAGGTCTGAGTCACTGATGTGGAATTAGTTTTAGGAAGGCTTTTTGGGGATTTTTGCAAAGTGGTAAGTGAACCAGAGAAAGGCAGAAGAGGCTTCTCAATATTTTTTTTTTATAAGCCTTTGCAGTTTTGTGTTTTTTTTTTTTTTTTTTCTAGTCAGAGTCTCGCTCTGTCACCCAGGCTGAAGGGCAGTGGTGTGATCTCAGCTTACTGCAACCTCCACCTCTTGAGTTGAAGCAATTCTCCTGCCTCAGCCTCCCAAGTAACTGGGATTACAGGCACTCACCACCACTCCCAGCTAATTTTTATATTTTTAGTAGAGATGGGGTTTCACCATGGTAGCCAGGCTGGTCCCGAACTCCTAACCTCAGGTGATCTGCTCACTTAAATGCACTTTCTTATCAGTGCCTTATTTCATCCTCACAAGAGACTTCTGAAGGCACCAGCATTTCCATGTTACAGATGAGGACATTAAACCTCCAAGAAATTATGACTTGTTCAGGATGTCATAGCTGATCTGTAGCAGCACTGGGACTCAAATCCTGTCTCCTTGTCGACCACACTGAAATTTCATTTCAGCTTACAGGTAATAAACAGCCTTTTAGGCCATGCACTAGAATTTGGGGTCTGAGGGTTCCTACTTCTGATCAAAATTGAATGGAATATGTGGTTATTTCTTGGAGATAAATATTCCATATCTCTTTTGGAGAGGAGATTGAAAGAGCGGGGATGATGGACCAAAAGTCAGTTGGGTTCATGTGGCTCAGAAATGTGAGACAAACGACATTTACTTTCTCTTACCATGGACTGTAGCTAGAATAGTCATACTTGGCAGCCCAATCTCTCAGTAGGTTAACAAGAATTTACTGAGTATCAGTTGTATGCCTGAGTCCAGAGTGCTTAAGGTACAAAGATCAGGCAAGCCTCATCAAGTAACAGAACAGAGAGTGAGGTAGAGTTATGATATAAATATACACAATCACTATTATAATGATATAATTCCTTGGAGAAAATCAATAGTCTTTGAAAGGTTGTTTTGGCAGTATTTGGCCTGTAGTTTTTCCTTCAAGTGAGTGGATGCTAGTTAAATAAGATTATCAAATGAATGACAGACAGTTAATGGAAATATCCTGGAATTAAGCAGGTTTGGTGGGGAGTATGTATGTTGGGAGTTGTAACGGAGAGGGAGGCGGGGTTCAGTAGAAAAAGAAGGCATCTCCAGGAATGTGGGCAACATGAACCAACACTCAGAGGTGGTGGAGTATAGAACAGATGTAGGGAGGCATCAGAAGGCAGCATGGTGGAAATGAGGCCTGGTGCTGGGGTAAGTGAGACATAGGAGGGAGTGAGGAGAGATCAGTGATCAGCTGGTTACCACTTTTCTTCTTTTCCGCATCTCTGACAGGCACACACCTTGTTCAGGACTAAGACTGTGATGACTGTTGTTTGCAGTTGGAATTTAATTTGGGTATACCTCCAAGCCAATTAACTTAGCCCCCCGATGAAGTTTTTACTCCAATGCCTTGTCCTCTTATCCCGTGAAAATCCTGCCCCAGGGTGAGAGAGATGAGAATGTGTCCTTGTATGTAGGAAAATTTTAGAGTCAACATCAACATCATCTTTTGAAAATATAGTACTTTGTGCAGTCAATAAGTCACAAAACATTAGGATTTTGAATACCAGTCAAGCAGGACCCTGTAGTTTAATTTTAAAACAAAAGAGCAAAGAAATGTCACTTCTACTATAAAGCATGAATTGTTACCACCTTCCCCTTTTGCAATCTGCTTAACAGATGTTTGTTGCCTTTTATTTTGTGAAGGAAAGAAATGCTTTTGAAATCTTCTCTAACCTGTCATATATACTTCAATTTTCCCCACCAGATTAGTGCAATGGCACTAGTAACAAAAGAAAAAGGTAAATTTTTAGAAAATGACATAGGAATTCTAATAGCATACACATCAAAGCAGTTGATGAGAATATTTATATTTCTTCTTGATGTCAAATCACTGTTTATCCTACAGAAGTCAATGTTATGGCATGTGTAATATCTGGTCTTTTCTGGTTGCATTGTTTTGCTTATGGATAAAATTTTGAAAGGGCATACAACAGACACTCAAATGCCTGTTGGGCTTGGGTAGGATGGGGCTTTAATCTGTGATGACTTGTTCTGTTTTATCGTTTCTCATATTTTGGCAAACCAGGCTTTGACAGTAGGCTGATTCTTCTTGGTTGTAATGTTGACTTCTGCCAAAATACACAGTTCTTTAGAGTAAAATATAAAGTTCCTTTTGCACCATAATTCTTTACTTAAAACACCTAGTAGTATTTTAATTGGGTTTCCAGATTGTTGTGTTCTAGTAATGGACACCATATGCTCAGAGAAGCAGTAGGATACAGTGCAGTGGTTAAGAGAACAAATAGTGAGTGCTTAAGACATACAAGCTGGGAGTTACATAGCTTGAGTTCAGATCCCAGTTCTGCTGTTTACTATTATGTGATCATGGGCATGTCCGTTTCTTTACATATAGGGACAAGGATACTTACCTTATAGGATATTGTAATGATCAAATGAGTTAATACATATAAAATACTTAGAAAAAGTATGGCCCTTAATAAACACTCAGTAAATGTAAATTATTATCGAAGGGCTTGGTTTTACTCAATGGTCTTGGGGCAGATCCACCACGTGATTCTCTGAACTCTTTCTTGATATAAGATGTTTATTGAGACACAATTTACTTACCATAAAATGTATCATTTTAAAGTGCACAATTCAGTGTTTTTTAGTGTATTCAGAGTTCTGCAACTATCATTACAATCTAATTTTGAAACATTTTCATTTTCCCAAAAGAAGCTAGAAACCTGGACCCATTAGTAATAGCCAAATTATTTTACATTCCCACCAGCAATGAATGAGGATTCCATTTTCTCCACATGCTGATGAACACCCGTTACTATTTGTCTTTCTTATTTTAGCCATCCTACTTGGTGTGAAGTAACATCTCCTTGAGGTTTTGATTTGAATTTCTCTAATGAATAGTAATGTTGAGCATTTTTTCATGTGTTTATTGGCTATTTGTATATCTTCTTTGATGAAATATCTATTAAATTCTTTGTACTTTTTTTAAAAACCAGGAACACAGGCACATTATTGAATGCCATTGTAGAACAGTGTGGGGCTGATACAGGAATTGGCTCTGGGGGCAGGGCGAGGAATGGAAGGTGGAGTACGTGGGAAACAGGTCATGGACAGAGCTCCTGGCCTGGATGATGCCTCCTGCTCTATTGATAGACTTGCAAGATCAATACTGGATGATGATAAGCAGAATGGTCATGATGATGCCCAAAACAGGGCCCTGATGTTCAGGCACTTGGTGGTGGGGGCATAGGCCTGGGCCCTGGTCAGGTCGCCAACCATCTTCCTGTCCCTAGAGTTTACAGAGTAGGTGAATGCTATGAAGCCCAGGCAGCAGGAGTTCACGAACAGGGTGTTGAAAAGGGACCAGATGACATGGTTGGGCACTGAGGTCTCGCTGTGGATGTGGATCGCGATGGATGTTGGGGGAGCAGGGTTGTGGGGCATCCCCAGCACAGCCACCTCGTGCTCTTCCTTCAGCATCTCATAGTTGGGGGAATGGTCAGTGTTGGCAGGAGTGAAGAAGGTTTAGACAGTGTGGTTCATGGCGTCCAGGGAAGACCAGCTGTGGTCGGGTTGCTCGGATGGTTTTCCCCTTTGCACATTTTAAAATTGGGTCTCGCCGGGCGCGGTGGCTCAAGCCTGTAATCCCAGCACTTTGGGAGGCCGAGGCGGGTGGATCACGAGGTCAAGAGATCGAGACCATCCTGGTCAACATGGTGAAACCCCGTCTCTACTAAAAATACTAAAAATTAGCTGGGCATGGTGGCGTGTGCCTGTAATCCCAGCTACTCAGGAGGCTGAGGCAGGAGAATTGCCTGAACCCAGGAGGCGGAGGTTGCAGTGAGCCAAGATCGTGCCATTGCACTCCAGCCTGGGCAACAAGAGCGAAACTCCGTCTCAAAATAAATAAATAAATAAATAAAATAAAAAATAAAAAATAAAATTGGGTCTAACTTCTTTTAATCCACTGAATTTTCACTGTAATTCTTTTTTTTTTTTTTTTTTTTTTTTTTTTTTTTTTTTTTTTGAGATGGAGTCTCACTTTATTGCCCAGGCTGGAGTGCAGTAGCATGATCTCACTCATTGAAACCTCTGCCTCCTAGGTTCAAGCAATTCTCCCACCTCAGTTTTTTGAGTTGCTGGGATTACAGGCGCATGCCACCATGCCCAGCTAATTTTTGTATTTTTAGTAAAGGTGAGCTTTCACCATGTTGGCCATCCTGGTCTCAAACTCCCGACTTCAGGTGATCTACCTGCCTCGGCCTCCCAATGTGCTGAGATTACAGGTGTGAGCCACTGCGCCTGGCCTCCACTATAATTCTTTATACATTTCATTATAGTTTGTCCATTATAACTCTCTCTCTAGTAAAAAAAAATACATAATATTCCAAGAAATTGGTGCACATAATTTAACCATTCATCTGTGGATGATTTTCTCTATTTTTCCTGCTATGTTACTATAAATAATGCTACAACAAATATTATAGAACATATATTCATTCTCATGTGTTTGTGTTTTTCTATAGGATAGATTTCTAGCAGATAATTGTACAGTTAAAAGATATGTATCTATAAATATTTTTATAGATATGCCAAATTGCCCTCCAAAAAGACTATACCAATATATATTCCCACTAACAGTGTCTGAGGGTATTTCTTGACTCATACTGTTAGAAAAGTTTCCAATGGGGTCATGGATGAACTAACTTATTTTTCTTATTTCATATTGTATCTGCAGGAAACTCTATCAACATTATATTTACATATTCAGACAGCTTTAAGCATAAGCTTTGCATTCAGGAAAAGAGGGAATAATGTCAGCATTATTATGAAGAAGCTTCCCATATCCGCTAAGAAAAGGATAATCCTTTAATAATTTTAATATAATTTATAAAAACTTTTGCCCTCCAGTTTTCTGTTATGGGTATTTTATTTTACAAATTTTAATGTCTGCATTCTATGGGATGCTATGATTTATATTGTATATGATTGCTACTGTTACTGGGAGGATATAATGGAGATTGAGCAATGTGAATAATTTCCTGAATTATTAAAATATAAGTAAACAGTTTGAAAAATGCTAACCTGAATTTTCAAGAAATCAAACTCCTTGCCTCTTAGGAGTTAGTTTACAGAGAGACTTAACTTTCCACATCCATGTAAACTGGGTCGCCTGAACATTTTAAACATTTACATTTTGGACATTTACCTTATATGTTTGGAGGATTTAGTATAATTGATAATCAGTATTTCAAACGCCCATTGTCCTTTTGATGGTTCAGGAGAAAAATAGTGATGCTGCCTTTAAGTACTTTTCTTTCTTTTTCTTTGGGGCAATCTCACCCTGTCATTCAGGCTGGGATGCAATGGTGCCATCTGGGTTCATTGTAACCTCTGCCTCACCGGACTCAAGTGGTTCTCATGCCTCAGCCACTCAAGTAGCTGGGATTACAGGCACAAGCCATCATGTCCAGCAAATTTTTGTATTTTTAGTAGAGACAGGGTTTTGCTGTGTTGCCAGGCTGGTCTCAAACTCCTGGCTTCAAGCAATTGGTTCACCTTGACCTCCTGAAGTGCTGGGATTACAGGTGTGAACCACCATGCCCAGCCCAAGTTTCTTCTTTTTCTTTTTTTAAAATGTTTTTTTAGAGTTGGGGTCTCACTGTGTTGCCCAGGCTGGACTTGAAGCAATCCTTCTGCTTCAGCCTCCCAAGTAGCTGGGACTACAGATGTGTCCTGTCATGCCTATCTCCTAAGTTCTTAATTTGTGGTAGGCAGAATAATGCCTCCCCCAGGAAAGCCTGCGTCCTAAGGCCTGGAACCAGTGAAAGTGGTAGGTACGTGGCAAAAGAAAATTAAGACAGAATATAGAATAAAAGTTGCTAATTGGCTGACTTCAAGATTGGGAAGTCATACTGGATACTCTTTGTGGGCTCAATGTAATCATGAGGGCCCTTAAAGGTGGAAGGGGGAGGCAGAATACAAGTCAGAAAGAAAGAGATATGGCCGGGCGCGGTGGCTCACGCCTGTAATCTCAGCGCTTTGAGAGGCCAAGGTGGGTGGATCATGAGGTCAGGAGATGGAGACCATCCTGGCTAACACGATGAAACCCTGTCTTTACTAAAAATACAAAAAATCAGCGGGGCATGGTGGCACTTGCCTATAATCCCATCTATTTGGAAGGCTGAGGCAGGAAAATCGCTTGAACTCAGGAGGCGGAGGTTGCAGTGAGCCGAGATTGCACCACTGCACTGCGCTCCAGCCTGGGCGACAGAGCGAGACTCCATCTCAAAAAAAAAAAGAGAGAGAGAGAGAGTGAGAGAGAGATGACAACTGTGAGGTCAGAGGTATGGGATGTGAGAAGGACTGGACCTACTGTTGCTGGTTTTGAAGCTGGGGAAGGGAACCATGAACCAAGAATCATGAGCAGCCTCTAGGAGCCAGGAAAGGCAAGAAAATAGATCTTTCTTAGAGCCTCCAGAAGGGAATACAGGCCTGCCAACACCTTGATTTCCCCCCAGTAAGACCCATTTTGGACCTCCAGAACTGTAAGATAATACATTTGTATTGTTAAAGATGCTACGTTTGTGGTAATTTGTTACAGAAGCAAATAGAAAACTAATAAGATTTGAAATGTTCATACAATGTTACTGAGTAGCCCAGTTTCCTCATTCCATGCCATTGTAGCTGTTTGAATGCGGATCTCTTACTAAGCTCATGAGAGCTTACATTCTGCCCCAGAACTACAGCTGCCAATCCTTCTGACATATGTATTTCTTTACCTGTCGAAATCCAGTCAATTTGGAGCCTTGCTCCAGTGCCTAATGTGGCTTTAGACATTGGCAAGTCTGTGTAAACTGCACAAGGACATGGATGTTACATTATTTTAAATTTATTTGTCAAGTGCCACTTGGTTCACGATGACTGTGTTCTCTAGGAATGTTTCTTCATCTCTTGTTAACATGGAGGCAAAGAATGTCATGTCATGTGTTGGTGAGAGAGACCTCCCTTTGTCTCTCTTCTGGGCGAAACTCCTACTCCTATCACATGGCACTAATGAGTACTCAGTCTTCTCAGGGCTACTGATCTTGGCACTGCTGTTTGGCACAGGGGTAGGCAATAATCCAGGTCTTTCCTGGTACTTCTGAACCTGGAATATGAGAGCAAGTGTTTCAGTCTCTCTCTGGTGGTGAAACAGTGAAACACTAGATGTAGGCAGCTAGGGGGTGGCTCAGTTGAGAGAATAAAACTGAAGGATCAAGAGAGAAAACTCACAGAGTTCAAGTTCTTGGCACCAGTTATACTTGAGGCGCAGCTGCATAGAAACCCTTCCCAAGGTTTATTTATATACGCAAGTAAGTGCTTTGCTTTAAAAAAACATATCCGTTTTGGTTGGGTGCGGGGGCTTACTCCTATAATCCCAGCACTTCGGGAGGCCAAAGTGGGTAGATCACGATGTCAGGAGTTCAAGACCAGCCTGGCCAAGAAGCTGAAACCCCATGTCTACAAAATGCAAAAATTAGCTGGGTATGGTGACAGTCACCTGTAATCCCAGCTGCTCAGGATGCTGAGGCAGGGAATTACTGGAACCTGGGAGGCAGAGGTTGCAGTGAGCTGAGATTGCACCACTGCATCCCATCCTGGGTGACAGAGCGAGACTCCATCTCAAAAAAAAAAAAAAAAAAAAAAAAAAAAAAAAAAAAAAGCAGTTTTAATTGTTTTTGTGAATTTCACTCACCTGCAAGGAAAATAATCTTGATTAATACATTTGATAAAGGAGTATTAGAGGTCTATAAGATTCAAGTTCAGTTGCTCTTACTTGCAGCCATGGGTTAGCAGTGTCCCTGTCTCCTAGAAATACCACCAAATAATTGGTAAGTCACTGTTATGTATTCACTGAAGTTGCATAAATTCTTTCTATATGTCAGTCTCATCCTGATGTCTTATATTCAGTAATTCTCACTGTTTTATATAACCATTTTTTCTCAAAATGACCTATAAAAAAATTAGGTTACAAAGATGAAAGACTAGGAATTGCTGAATGCTACCTCTTGGAGTATCATATATAGACAAACATATTAAAGGCTCTGAGAAGTTCTGTGTCAAATAAAATTAATCGAATAGTTCATAAAAATAACAAATAGTTTTAAAAGTTCAACTATGCTTATAATTAAGTCAGTGCAAATTTGACCGACACTATTTTAAACAATTAGATTGGCATATATCAAAAAGTATGTTACTATACTGTTTGGGGTAGGATATCAGAAAACAGGAATTTGCATGCAGTGTAAATTGCTATGTTGTGTTTGGAGGATAAGCGACACTATTTACAAAACATAATAATGTGCACATAGTTTGACTCCTCCTCCCCATCCATTTACAGAATGTTATCTTATTGATATGCTTCTGCATTTGCACAAGGATATTCATTTCAGCTTTTTTTTTTCCTGGTAAAGGACACCTAAATGACCACCAATATT